TGAGAAGTGGTGGAAACTTGAGGTGAGGCCTAGTTGGAGGAAGTAGGTCCTTGGAGGTATAAGATTTCTTTGCACAGGCATGGTTGAAGCAATGGATAGCCATGTCAAAATATGATTGGACATAAAAGGCATGATCTAATGCTATTAAGACTGGGTGGGGAAACCCAGCAAGACATGTCTGCTTCAACATTTTTTTTTTTTTGGCTTCTCTGTATAGCATTCCTCTTTCCAGGGCATGGGGCAGGATCCCTTGAAGGGTGTATTTTGTCCCTAGATCCTTTCTTTCTGCTTCTAGCTGCCAAGAGGTAAGCAGTTTTACTCCAACGCACAGCTCCCAACTTTATGCTGTGCCTTATCACAGATCTAGAAATAACAGAGCCAAGTGACCATGCCTGCAACCTGAGGCAAAATAAATCCTTCCTCCTTTAATTTTGTCCTTTGATTTCTCTCAAGTATTTTGTCACAGTGACAGAAAATTGACTAACACAAATACCTCAAGCTAATAGGGCTTTCATTCCATGATTATGATTTTTTTGTGTGGGACGGGGAACACAGTTCAAAGTCCCGGCCATCTTCAGTTCTGTCTGGGCATATTATTACTTTCTGTTGGACCCTTTCCCATCTGCTTTGTGCCGGCAGCCCCAGAGTCAGCCGGAAGTATGTGGAAATCTCACATTCTCTGGTCTCCACTGTGCAGGTACATAACCACACCTAGGAATATGCTTTTCCAGCCACAACTGGAGTTAGAACAATAGCCCTCCCCTACTCCAAATCAGTCAAGTCCTCTTGGATAGTAGCTGAAAAGTTGGTCCTCACAATATCCCTGCCCTGCCCCGAAACCTCTAGGAAAAATCTCTATGCTAAGGGAAAGGCTGGGAATGGGAGCATCCTCAGGCAAGGATGCCACAGATTCCCCTGTTATTATGATGTTCAGCAATTATTCAGGCATAAATATACTTCAGATTATTATATATCTTTGATTCATTTTCACAGTGCTAGAAATGGTTGTTTGTCCATTGTTTTCCAGCTTGGTAGTTGCTTTTTCAGGAAGATATCCACCTCCTCAGTGTTCCACAGTTGGAAGTTTCACCCTCCTCAATAAATACTTGATAAATAAGTGGACTGGAGCTGGGGCTGTAGCTCAGCAGCAGAGCGCTTGCCTAGCATGTGTGAGGCACAGGGTTTAAACCTCAGCACCACATAAAAATAAACAAATAAAATAAAGGCATTCTGTTCATCTACAACTACAAAATAATAATAATAATAATAATAATAAAGTGGACTATCCCCTTGTAATTTGTCTTCTGCCTCTACCAAGCTACTAAAATGTCCTATCAAAAATTACCAGTTACTGCCTAGGCATTAAAACAGACTCCAAGACAGGCCTGGATTGAATTCTAGCTTTGTCAGCAACTGTGTTATTTGGCAAAGGCACTATCTTTTCCAAGTCTTGGTTCTGCTCTTCTGTTAAATGGCAAAATAATACCTATGGCGTTATTGTGATATAATTATATGTATTGTTTTGGTTGTCATTCATGTTTCTTGGCTCAAAATCCCTCCCAAGGCAGACCACAGAAACTAGAATTTCTTTCCCAAGGCGGGTTCTTTCCTAAGAACTCTAATCTCCCTCCCCACTATACTTTTCAGTCTTGGAGCTATCCCTAAAGAAATTCTCTGATTTGCCTTGTCCAACAGTAGGTTATAAGATCCTCCTCATTCCAGAGGGATCCTGCCCCATGCCCTGCAAAGAGGAATACTAAACAGAGAGGCTAAGAAAAATGCTGAAGCAGACATGTCTTGCTGGGTTTCCCCACCCAGTTTATTAGCGTTAGATTATGCCCTTTATGTCCAAACATATTTTTTAAATACTTATTTTTTAGTTGTAGTTGGCCACAAAGGTATTGTACCTTTATTTAATTATTTGTTTGTTTGTTTATTTACATGGTGCTGAGGATCGAGCCCAGGGCCTCACACGCTAGGCTAGCGCTCTACCGCTGAGCTACAACCCCAGTCCCACGAATCATATTTTGACACGGTTGTCCATGCTTTAACCATGCCTATCCATAAAAACCCAAAAGGTAGGGTTCAAGAGCTCCCTGATAGCTGAACACATGAAGATTCCTGGAGGGATGCATTTCTTCATCTGTATCCTTTTAATATCCTTTATAATAAACCAGTAATTCGTATTTCCCCTGAGTTCCGTGAGCCATTCAAGCAAATTCATCAAACCTAAGAAGGTTATGGATCAGTCAGAAGCCCAGGTTAAACAATATGAGGCTTGTGATTGACATCTAC